CCCTGCAGGACACCGGCCCTTGAGGCCTGGAGTTCGACACCCCTGTAATAGACAATGGGCAGGACTGTGAATACTCAGACTGTGTTTATTAAACCCAATATGGATAACATCTTGGAGAAGCTCATAGCTTTGAAATGGGTAAGATCTTTGAGAAGAAGAATGGGAATTGAGAGAATTGGTGACCAGTGACGGACATTTGACCAACTGTAAAAGTTGGATGCAGCTGTTCACACTAAACATAAACATTCACCGTCTTCACTCATGCAGCTATCGCACTGGCACCAGCTGAAGGCCTGCCAAGGTCAAAGCTGACTGGAACAACAAAAATTCTTCCATGATAAACAGGACTGTTGTCAGCACTCTTTGTCCCTCCTTTAAGGCCCCATGGGTCCACTGGAGACTGTTGTCCTTCGCTTAACTGGGCGTGGTGACACTTTCTCTCAGCTGAACACGGGATACACACACGCACAGACACATGTACACTGATACTGATACACTCTCACCGTCACCCTCCCTTCCCCAAATCCCATGCCTCCTCCCATGCTTACCTCCCATCCGATGTGGACAGCGGATCAGCTGGAGGTGCGATCAAAGATTGCAGCGGTCCCAGATCCAGCTGTGCACACTGCAATGTTGTTTGTCTGTGTTTTATTGTGTTATGGTGTGATGATATCTGTGCATTCCTGGATTATCCCTTTGTGTTCCACATTTCACTGTTTTTTCCTTTGCTACCTAACCTGGTCTGTCTCTCCAATATGATGTTTGTGTATTTTATGTATGGTCAGCAAGGTCTGTCGTCTCAGTTGTGGGCAATTCATCTCATCTCATCTCATCATTATCTGTCCTCCAGGGAGTTAATTATGGTTAATTAGGTTAATTATGATCAGTGTTGGGACTAACGCGTTATTAATGTAAAGCCAGAAAAGCAGAAAAAAAAGCAAAGCTTAAGCTCATCCTGCACAAGCTTTACTTAGCGTTTATTTATTTTATGCTTATTTATTCTATCCTGTTATTCTATTATTAATTTAGACTTTACCTAATATTTATTGATTTTATTCTTATTCATTTTTTAATCTTCTTACTCTATTTATATTTATATTGTATCCTGTTCTTATTTATTTTATCATTTTACCCT